TCGGACCAGCGTCGTCACCGGTGCACCAAACGATCACGTCGTCACCGACGAAACCGTCGGTCCGGCGGCGAACCGCTTGCTCCGTGAGTCCTTCATCCGTTGCTCCATGGATCCATACGGCCAGCCCCGTTTGTAGCTTCTTGTTCTGTTCGAGTCGTGATGCCCGAAATGCTCCTAGTAGCATCCTTTGCCTCTCCTTGTCACGGGGAGCCAAGACCTAAAGAGATCCGATGGGGGAAAGGCGCCTTCATAGACTCCTAAACGTTCAGGAAGCGAAACCTCTGCTGCGCGTCCTTTCAAACAGCTGTACAATGCGACAAAGCCGTCCTGGTCGGTAGGAACCTGGACGTTCTTAACCCAGAAAATGGGACAAGCAAAAACAGCACCTATAATTACCTACCATGGTGAATGCATTGGTCCATTGGGGAGACATGACTATAATGGACCAATGGCACACCCAATTTGTACCCATGTTCCGCAAACTACGAATGACAACCCGCGGAAAAATAAAGAACAAACGCAATGAATCCCAATGAAACCTCTGCTGACGAGATGCCACAGCCCTTTTTACTTCACTCCTTGATGCCCAGCGGGGAAGATGCAGGAGACGCTCCACAGTCTTGGCTGAGAGCCTGGAGGCGTGCACGGTGTTGGGAGGGTGTAGAACTCAATGAGGCGGGGGAGTCCGCTTTTTCAACCAGCACAAAAAGGAGAACAGTTGCACATGTGTTTGGGATCCACATACACTTCTTGAAGGTGGTGAGACTATTTGACTCTGCAAGCCTACATAAAATGAGTCTCCAATCGTGGATTCCTGGAAATTAGAAGATCCAGGTGTATTGTATGGGTGTGCCTGGAGACCCTGGCATCTGCTGGACCCAAACTGGCGGGGGGACCCATAAAACATCCTTCAAACTTGTCGAACGCAAGGTATTTTCATGGAGGGTGTATGTGCTTGGGTGCTCTTTACCTGTCTCAATTGAAGAACTTTTGAACTTTTTGTGTCCCCTCAAAAAGGACCAGTTGCAAGGTTAGCTGCTTGAATCCTGAAATCATTCTTCAGCTTATATACCCTTTGGCCGCTGCAACGCCTTGGAGCAAAGCACATTCTTGAAGAGCCATGGCGTGGCAAGGAGAGAGCATTGCACCCTCCAAGATCGGTTTTTTGTTGTTTAAGTTTCCGGCTTGCACCACTTACTGGAAGAGTCCATTTGGCAGTGACCAGGTGGTGAAAACACATGATGTCACACACATGCATTTCATCAGTTTCTTCTGGGCCATCTGAGGTCGGAGTTGCGGTCAACGCGCTCAAGTCCTCGCCATCTACCTGGACCCGACTTCAAGTGCCCATTTTCCGAGGCACGAACGGTCGACTTCAGGCAGAATTCAATCAACAAGTTTTCAAACTCCGAAAAAACACTTTCGGCTTACCAAACCCTCTCCGATCACGCCCACCAACCCCTATATAGTTCACCCAAATGACTCCGGCCTCAAAAGCTCCCTCTGCTCCTGCTCCCGCCTAAAAAGGTGGCACCGTTCGTTGGACAACACTTCTTCAACTCACCCACTCCACCTGACTCCTGTCCGGCAAGGAAGGGGGGGTAAGCACCTGCCACGTTCCCTCAGTGAGCCACGGCTCCGCATCTGCCGGCCCCGCGCCCACCCGCGCTGCTGCAGCGCAGAGTTGCCGCCGTGCAGGGGGACTCAGGGGCGCCGCCTGGTCACAAGACGGACCAGTTTGATTGTCACATTTGCCTGAGGATTTAGATCTTGCCATCCAGTCTGTGGCTGCTGGCCTCCAGGTTATTGCTGTCCTCCTCTCCCATTCAGAACTTGATTTGGATACTGAACAGTCAGTCAAGAACAGCCACAGGTCGTTTCTGTGATAGCTGGTCCTATTTGAACAGGTAAGTTTCCACAGGTAGTTTCAGCTCACCACAAGAACAGCTCAATTTCCATCGACCGTGGGCAACCGTGTGCCATAGCACCTTTGTGACATTCAATCGAGCGGTTGCGTGAAGCACGTTTTTCTGGTCGGACCCGACCGACCGTTCGTAGCGAAAATGGAACATGATCAACCCTAGGTAGTATAGGGGCTTCCAGCCAGGTGACCCCGACATGAAGGTGCTGGTAATAGCTTCTGGAATTCGTTCGTAGCGATGGCCTCCAACCTACTTCTGATGGCCCCCCACCTGATAGTGTCCTAATACGCATGCATGTACAACTGTGCCAGCACCTTCCTTTGGGGTCTCCAATGGCCTACCCTGCACATCCCTATATACACTATATACCTGCACTGTGGATCTACCTTGATCACCCTTTGACTCTGAGGTACGAACTGGTCGACTCCAGGTAGTGAGTATCAAGGCGAAAACGGGAACAAGAATCTGAGCTCACTGGTCGCCGGAAGTACAAGACGTACACTTCCTGGACATCCTGGAAGTGGAACACCACCTGTTTGGTCTTTGGATTTCATGGTCTTCCTTTCTTGGTCTATACCATCCACCTAGCCATGATTGTGAGCAACACTTCACGTATTTGCTAAAACCCGCTACAGTACTACTCCATGTGACTGGCATCATTGACTAGGCCATTGGGGTGGATAATTTCATGTCTATATGAACTTCCCCAGTGTTGGGGAGATATGCATGTCTATATGAACTTGTTTGGCTGATCAAATGGCTGAATTTTACACGTGAACAACTTACATTATGTTTTATATACTGTAGATGGTTTAGTTTAACTTGAACAACTTTACATTATTGTTTTATATAGATGGCTTAACTTGTTCATCTGATTGTCCAAATGATGTGGATCAGACCTGCGCTTGTTCAGCCCATACCTGAACCCTCCAAAGACAGGTAGAGATCATACTCGATCGTTGCACCAGGTTACCAATCTTTTTTTTTCTGAGATGCTTGGAGACCTTTCACCGCCTGCACAAAAAAAAACCCTGCAAGTCCAATCTGATCCTGTAAAACCTGGTCTTTTGCCTCCTTAAGTATTGGTTTTGTATTACCATCTCCAGCAAAATGAGGTCTTTGACTTGTAGGGATATGTAAAAATCACACACACACACACACTGGAATCTCTGGAAATGGGACCCGGGGCCCCCCATCTGCCTGCTGCAGCAGCCAGTTCGCATCCGCTCGGCGGTCCTGCGCACACGACAGGCATCCACGCAGTGTTGTGGTCAATGAATAGCACTTGATACCCCAGACACGACCCATGGGACTGGCATAGGACTGCCGATCAGGCCAGGGGTGGTTGACCTGGGGTCAATGTAAAAATAATATGGCAGTCCCATGGGTCGTGTCTGGGTACCAGTCAAAATGTCAACGTCAACTTCTGAGACTGGTCCGTGTCCCAGGATCGCCCAGGATCGCCCAGGTGTCCCCTTCATCTTAAAAGTTGCAAAAGGTTGTTAGACCAGGAGTCACATGTCGGGGTGGTGTTTGGTCCCCAAGTGAGTGGATAATGGGCACACCTAACCTCCATGGATCGCACCCCGTCTTGTGACTGCTGGGAAGTGAATTTTCGGTGATATTAATCCAGATTCTCACATCTCCTCGACCCTCCAACGTAACGTGTCACACGGACGCGTGTAGATGTGAAGCTCTCTGAAAATCCATGACACATCTACCTGCAGTTCCAAAGAAGTACCTGCTGACAGTGCACTGGGGTGCCCGTGCCATGATCCACTCACTTAAGTATACAGATTTGAATATAATATATATATATATAATATTAAATATATATATATATATACCTGGATCCTCCTTTGGGCGGAAAAAAGTGCCGGACCTCAATCCGGCAAAATTTTCCGCCGGATTCCGAAAAAAACCGCCGGAGACCTGAAAAAACATCCGGATCCAAGATTCTGAAAAACAGAGATGATAAAAGGTTGGATCATACACAAGGAAATTGCCTTTGCGCCGCGAGTCGTTTTTGTGGAGCACACTCGAACCTTCCCGTTCCCATTGCCCTCGCCCATCTTCCGAATGGCCTAAGAGCAGAACCATCACAAAATATAAGCAACTTGTGCCCAAGCAAAGACTTCCAAGAAGAAACCAAGGAGCATGTGGCAATGAACTCATCTTTCTCTGCAACCGTGTCTCTAAAGTGTTTTTTCCAAAGTGGGTTGCTCTCCATGATTCTTATGCTTCTTAATGTTTCTATAAAGCTTGCCTCAGGACGGCCCCCCAAAAAAGTAGCAAAACTCATGGTTCCTGTCAAAACTCTTATTTGAAAAATTTTTGAAAGTCAAAGCCCGCAGAAGACTCAGTCCAACAAAAATACGTCGGAGTTACGGGAAATTACGCCGGAGTTGCTGGAAATTACGCCGGAATTACGGGAATTACGCCGGAGTTGCGACGTGCCAGTTTTTGACAACTCTCTGCACAACATTGAGATTCTGAACAACACATGTTCCACAGCCCAAAACTTGTCCGGCAGGCTCTGCAAACCTGCGCAGCTAGAACTGACATCCTGAAACAGTGGGAGTACATTTTTGCCTATGCCTATGCTCTTTCAGCTTAGGTACGCCCACGTGGATCTTTCAATAGGTGCATCGCACTGTACAGTACCGGCTTCATCCGACTTCATTTAGAAGATCACCTAAACGGATCTGATTGATCCAGTGTGAACCATGCTGAAGCAGGTGGAATGAGAAAACAGCGGAACAGGCAAACGAGCACACATTGCAAACAAAATCATTGCATCAGTAGTGGGTTTACCTTCAAAGAAATGCAAACCACAAAGAATGCAAAGCCTTGAGAACCCACATAAAGTGACTTGGAAAAAGTGCCGGACCAAATCCAGAAAAACGCCGGAGTTGGAAGTCCGGCGCCGGACCCTGTAAAAGTGCCGGACTGAAGATCTAGGTATACTGTATAATCAATAGTGGGCGCCTGGAAACTACCGATGTTTATTTACTTCTTCCGATGTCCCATCATGGCCGTAGGTACCTACGTTTCACCCCCCAGAACCTGACATGCCTGTCAACCTGTCAGGACCATGCAACGCCCTTCATGACCTGCAAACAGGCGATTCTTCGGCCTACCAGTACCCCGCTTCTCTCTCGCGCACGCGCGCATGCGCGCCTGAGTACCGTTGACGATCTTGGCGATGCTGGCCGCGCCGAAGAACTGCACCTGGCCGCGCGGCTGACCCACACGGCAGGCGAAGAACTGATCCGATCCGGCCCACACGGGAGCTTTCCAAAAAACTGATCCTTCATACCTGGGAGCTTGTGTAAATGACATGGTGTGTTCAGATGCAACACGAGGTTCAAACAGGTGGGGAAAGAAGTAAGAACCTATAATACCAGCACCAGGGAGTTCGGGTGGTTTTTCGACAGAGACCTGACTATGTGTATTTTCATGTATATCTTCCCTTCCCTCCCACCACCTGAAATCCGTGGTCCATGGTCACCCATACCGCATGTGTCCGACACCGCTCTTCCCGTTCCACTCCTCGGGCACGGTGCTCTGCAAGAGCTGAACGCACACCTCCAGGGCGCCTGGCAAAAGCGAGCTTCGCGGTCGCCTCGACCGCTAGTCCGTAGACCACATGCATGTCCCCGCGCGGCCATCTCTCGTACACCTGAACATGAGAGATGACCCTGGAGATCCCTGGAGAAACCACGTACTGGACCATTCAGGTGTTTCGCTCTTCCAACGACGCAAGTGTCTGCCGTTTGGAGATGTCCAGACACTCCAAGTTATAGCTCACGACATGACGAGGATCAAAGGACTGTCCCGTCTTCCTGTCAAATTGACGTACCAGGGAATGAACACACGACACTGCACACAGTTGGTAGCCATACCTGGAGTCTCCAGTTCGTAGAAAATGGAACGATCACTCCAGCCAAAAACAGGTACGACTGAGTATATAACTGATCATGAGTATGTACCATTAAAAAATAAAGCGCTTTCCTGGGTACGAGCTGAGACTCCAGGTAGAAAACATATAATAAGACCTGACCTACCCTAAGAATCCACCGAACTTGGGAGTCCCGACCAACGACCCTGTGCCACTCGCCTCCAAAGCCAAAGAACTCCGTCCGGACGACCCTCCACAACCCAAACACATTATAAACAAAAAGCACTATATTAGCATCTGACCCGAGCTTGTTGCAAGTACTTTCCTGGTGCCATCGGTATACTCTTCACCGGGTCCAGCGTTTTGGACAGCTCCGTCCGACCCAACGACTTCGGTCGTGCATGCACAAGGGGACATGATTTGAAGCCCCAAAACAGGTACTTTCTGGAATCTTCAGTTTGTGACCAAACTTGATTCCCGTGGTTTTGAGGTTGTTAAACAGGCGCAACAGTTTTGTCAAAAGGTCACTGGTCGGGACTCCATAAAGGGTCACGAACTGAAGAAGCTGGTCGTACCAAGGGTCCCTTAGGGGCTGTTCATGGGCACCCCGAATCACCTCTAAAGGGCTTTTCACAGACACCCCAAACAGGGCCCCCGGTACCCATTTTCACAGGTCGACTCCTTCCCGAGCCTTTGAAGACCATTCTAATCAGGCTCCAAAAACCACAAAAAACATCAAACATTGCTTGACTGACCCCGTTTTGCAGTGCCAAATCCTGTCAGTCACACAGTGGTTGCTTCGGGGGTCATCCCCGCCTATTCCAAAAGGAACCGATGGGGTCCGTCCGCCGTGGGCCCCGGTGCGCCTGCGGAGCTCTGAAACGCCTCGAGCTCCGCGGAGGCGCTCGCATCGCCCCGGTAGAGCCTGGCGCGGAGCGAAGTACACCCGGGACACACCTCGACTCGACCCGGCCCAACGTGACTGACCTTGGAAAAGGGCCGACTAGTCGATCTCTGCGTTTGGTCGTCATGTCACATGTTCGGTAAGTCGGAGGTTCCAGGTGCTGATTTGGTGGGGCCGGAGGTATCTGCTTCTCTTATATATGAACTTTTGAGTGACTCCTCCGGCATTGGAAGAGTTCTGGCAGGTCGTGGTGCATCATGTTTGGAAAGCGGTCAACAGAAGGGCCCTTCCAAATTGGTGTCGTCTTTATGACATCGAATGGCCCGACGGCTATAGTTTGATACACAATAATGAAACACAACCTGTAAATCCTCCTCTCTCCTGTGGTTGAGTAATGATTGATGCTTGTTGCGAGTAGGGTCGGCGGAGGGGTTGGTGTTCTGTCCCTTCTTTGAGCCCCAAAGTGAGGCTGCTTCAGTAACAGTTGAAATAGAGTATAGACGTTCCAAGCAGCCTCAAAACTTGGTGTGGGAAAAGAATAGATCTGGATGGATTTATGGGAACTTCACAGGCATTCGGGTATACTGTATGGTTCTGCCGCAGCTGCCTTCGTGGGTCACGCAATCCTGTGCAGCTGCAAGGTATGTTTTCCCCAGTACTCACATACCAAGGAGCATCATTTTGCAGCCAAACCGGGTTTGGTCTTCGCAGGCAAGAATCCCATCCTCATGCCTTAACATCTGAGCATGGGATTTCGGGGTGGTACATGAACACCCCTTATAACCTGTAAGGGGCTATAATATTATGAACTTATGGACACACCTCTCGAGGGGCCCTGGTACATGAAGCTACCAATCGGTGAGGTTTAATTAAGTCTTGTACCTTCGTAGACAAAAGGGCATTCTTGGAGACTTGCCCCAAGAATACAATGTGTCCATGCGTTTTAGCATGGAAAGCGTGTCTGCAAAGGGTCTTGCGCATCTTACGCCGCTTCGCCGATACGGTGGGGCTCGGCAACGCGCTCACACGCAGGTGACGCCGAGTATACACCAGTTACGTCGGTGACGGGTGACCTCCACCAGGCATGGGAATCGGTTTGGGCTTCGCAGCAACCCGACCGATTGAAGAGCTTGTTCACGAGATGCTCTGCGAGTTTAGGGCTGTTTTGGTGCTTGTTGCGCCAAGTCTTCCTGCAAGTCAGCGGAAGTGAAAGTCACTCCTGAGCCTATACGGCTTCTGGAGACGAAGAGGATCTGCATGCATCAGAGGTGGGCTTTGGTCATCTCAGCCAAAAGCGTTTCCTTCGCGTGGTTTTTAGACCGGTTCTCCTGCTCAGTCATGTACACCCCTAAGGGTCCAGGACCATCCTGAGGATGTCCTTTGACCCCCCAAGACCATTCTCTGCAAGTACTTTCACCTCCAAGACCATTTTCAGGAGGTACCTGGACCCTATGGGCACAGTAATTATGAGTGTGGAAGGCAATATGTCAGCATGTATGAGAGATACTGGGCCTAGTGAGCGTGCTATCTACTTTCTGCGGTCTCACCAGCACGCTAGGAGATTTACTGCGTGTGATGCGGGCACCGTGAGCCGTTGGTGGATCTGGCGTAGCTCTGCGCCCATCAATGCAGCGCAAAGCGTGGGGATCTTGGGCCTTGGTACGTTGGTCATATGCGCTGCATGTTCATGTTGGTGAAACAAAGGATGGAACTCGTGGTAGAGAAACCGGAGTTCATATGCTTGTCCACATCCGATGCTTGCACCTTCACCTCCAGCCAGTCTTGCAGAGCAAACTGAACTGCCGAGGATTGCGGCCTGAGTCAATGGGAGGTAGGGTGGACAAGCGCTAGAAGGCTTCCCGCTCGCATGGGCATGTGATTTGGGTCGCCTTGCTTCCTTGCTTCCTTGCGGGTGACGGATTAAACAAAATTGCTTGGTGGCTGAAGCTTTGACAAATTACCCCACTCGTGGTACGTGTCAACACTTTCCGCATTGCCAGGTTGTTCAGCGTGAGCAGGAGCTGGCACAGCCAGAGCCACCACGTGTCGTTTTCCTTTTGATCGGCCTGGCTGGATCGACCAGGAACCGCATACGGCAAGTGGTTCTCAATGCGGCGCCCGGTGAGGGCCGCACCAAGTCGTGAAGCACTCGGGACCGGGATCGATGCAGTTCCTCGCCGGTTTGGCCAACGTCAAGCACTTAGGGAACCCGTTTGGCCAAGTGGAAGCTTTGGGAACCCCACTCACAAGCTTCCACTTGGCCCAACTTCACCAAGCACTGGTACGAAACGAACGCCCAATGCGACCCTGCCCGGTGATCACACTATCCGCTGCACTCTGGCTCCAGGTTGAGCTTGCCACGGGACAAGAAGTTGATCCATTCAGAGGTATCAATCCAAGGAGTCAGCAATGTGTTGGAAAGCTCGTCAGAGGCCACTGCGACGCAGCCACAGCTCAGGATCGCCTCAGGCGCCTTAGGCACTATAGGCATGTCGTTGAAACATTGGTTATAGAAGTAAGTATTCCCCTAAGCATCCGATATTGATTACAATCAATACCTATAACCTCATTAGGCCATTTGGCAATAATTGCATATAATTCCTGCCCAACTTCATTTAGGCCGAAATTATGCCCGTTGTCACATAGAACGCCTACGCTGCAGCCTCGAGGGTCAAAAACGCCGAGGCAAAATCACATGCATTCTTACATGCAGGAGGCAAAACCATAATTTGAATGAGAAAGCTTCTGAGAAAGCAACCTGACGCTGGTGCCCGGTCTGAAGTAATGTATGCTTAAAACTCATGTCACTTGCTCCCCCCCAAAAAGGCTACCATTCCTTTGTCCACCCTGATTGTTGTGAGGGGGGGAACGGATAAAAATGCCTATAAGTAACGGGCAAGAACGCCTATAGGTAACGGGTAAGGGCGCCTAAGTGACGGGAAGAATGCCTACGCTTAAGAGAATCTAACAGCCACAGACTGGGGGTGGACAAAACATGTATGTATTCATGTTGCTTTCGTTTTCATCATTTTTGTTCATGCCAATCTGTGTCTTTTTTCATGTACATATATGTGTGTGTGTGTTTTCATTTGCATCATCATTTGTTATTTTAAAACACCCACCTGTTGTTTTTGTTCATTCGTGATTGTGTTTATCGTTTGCGTCCCCTGAAGCGAAGGCTGCCAAGTCACCTATATACTCCTGAACCCGCTTTGCTACCCCACTCAGCTAGTCATTTCCTTCTATTTTGCTTTAGCTGTTGTGACATGTACTTGACTGTCGTTCATGTGTTGCCAAAACTAGCCGAACTTAAAACACAATGAACTTAAATTACAATGTTGCCAATTTGTGGCCGAAACTAGCCAAAACGATCACGAAAAACAAAAGAATGCCGGAGCTCAATTGCAATCACCTCCCCTGAAGGAAAGGCGGCCAAGTCAGCTAGTCCTGAACCCTCTTTGCTAGGCTAGTCGGTTACGCATGTCCTTCTATTTTGCTTCAGCTTTTGTAAAATGGAGTTGACTCTCGTTGATTTGTGGCGGAAACTAGCCAAAACAAAATTTTTTAAAAAAAAACAGCTCGAGGAAAATCAAAATTATTGAGAACACAAAACAATCTTCATTTGCTGTTTTGTGTTTCATTTGCTTTTTTGTTCAGCTTTATTTGTTCATCTGTCATTTTGGTATTCATGTGGATCATCATGTCTATTCATCTGTCATTGTGGTTTTCATTTGGGTCATGATTGCTTATATATTGTTTCTGACAATTTCATGTGTCATTTTAGTTTTCATTCAGGGCCAGGGCGAGGGCGTCTCCTCACTACATAACCTGTTCCTGTTTTACCTCCCATCTGTGTGTGACACAAATTTCTAGGCCACTGGTCACTAGGCCATCAGGTTCCATGTGGGTTTCTTCACGGTTGTAGGGGAGTTGATCTATGACCGTTCGGCATGTGGAAGCCCCATAACATATCCTGGACGCTGTTTCAACGATCCGCTGCACAGCTCTGTTCCCGCACCATATCCTGGATGAGCTTAAGGAACCAGGAAACACAAACAACGTATGAAAAACATAGTAAATAGTAATTTAAAAAAAATGCTCGGAAGGGGGGTCACTTATAAAATACAAAAGTAAAGATAATCAATGATAATCCTAAGCCTAGTAGCCTAGAATCCTAAATCATGATATTGATATTGTCATTGCACCATCGCGTTGTGTGATGGGTTTGAATCCCGCAAGGCTCGACTTGACCGAGCTCCACCTTCAAAACGTATTGAAACAACACATTGCGGGCCCTACCAGCTCTGGGAACTCTATGCGAGAAGGGTCGTTGGTCTGAAGCGAAAGCTGTTCTCATCCCCCACCTCTGCAGGGCTGCCACCACAGCCTCTTCCATCAGCGCACATGGCGGCAAATCCGCGCAAAACCGACCCCTTCAAAACGGGAAACCACTCGGGAAACCAACCAGTCTGCGTAGGGATCTGAAACAGAGTGCTGTTGGAGTATGAAGGACACTTGGCCTCTGAGTTTGATGCATCCAAAGTTGCCCCCACAAGAGACATGAGACAATCTTTGCCAATCCGCGGAACCAATGGAATCTATATGATTCTATATGCAAATCCACGGGACTTCTAATGCCAATCCATGGGACTGGCGCTCGGGGTGGTTGATCTTTTGGTTGACCTGGGGCGGTCAATGTAGCCTGAAGTCCACTTGGCTTACATCTTGGCTGTGCACGACAAAGAAGCGCATATGTCAAACACACACACACAATCAAAGCTATCTGAATCGTCGCAAGGTGCACTTAGAGGGGGTTCAAGAGATCTTGGGGGCTTTCCATACATCATCGCTCCCTACAACGCGTAGCTTCGTATTCTCATGAAGCTATCTGAGCCAGCTGGGCCAAGGCGCAAGGTGGGCCAGGCGAGCGAGGTCCTGGGTAGCATCCGAAGCATCCAGTTTTTTGCATGTTTTTGCCCAGAAACAGATTCATCAGGTTTGTACCAGGGCCTTCAAGGGGTGGTTGATGGACTCCCCTTTCCGGCTAAGGGGCTATAAATAGACACGCCTTGGAGCCTTGGAGGGTCCTGGTATACAATCTTACAATTTTTAGCCCCACTTGTTCCAAGATTCACCCACAACGGGGGATGATGCACGGAAGATGAAAACACCTGATATAGACCCTTCGCCCTGGACTTTCACTCCATGCCGATGCCTATCACGACATCTCACCTCCACGTCTTGCCCTGAACATTGCGAAACTCCGCAGCTCAAACGATTCGTCGACATATCCTGAACCCTCCGTCGTAGCAGAAAAAAGTGACAGAAAAAAAAAACTGCACATCATCAAAAAAAGTGTTCATGCCTTGAAAAAAGGTACCACTGGAAAGTCAGATGTAGCTTCATTCCACCTTATGTAATCTTCAAGTCCATTCCCCTGCCACATGCTGGCACCCATCCCATGCACACACAACACACGCTCACACACTACGAAGCGGCAGCCAGCAACCCCTTTCTTTGATCATCAGTATCAACATAAAATATTTACAGTAAGTAAAATAACAATCCGCCACTTTTTAAAATTGCGCCCGGGTTGCGGGAATTTGCGCCCGGGTTGCGGGAATTTGCGCCCAAGTTGCGGGCACCCTTTTTGGAAAAATTGTTGTAAAGCACGCCCAGAAGGTTGGAACGAAACCTTTGTGGTTTCATTTGCACATACTACTAGTAGGAGGTCATATAGGATTTCCACCCGGTCCATAGGGCCCCCAAAGGCCCACAAGGGTTGATAAGGACACTGGTCAGGAACCAGTAGGCTTTAGAATTTACATCACCAAAAAGCGCTCATATGTCCTGAAAAGTGTACATACCCTCAATTAACGCTCAAACTTCCAAAAAGTGCTCCAAACCATGGTTCGCCAGAAATAAGTGCTACAAAGGATGCTTCAGGATTGTTCCTGTCTACCATGAGTGGTAGCCGACATCGCCTGTCTAGTAGACAGCCATGTTCCAACTCAGAGACTCCACAAAAATACGGCAACAAACAGCCAGCAGCTCAGCTGGCGATCGAAGCTGAATCCAAAATCCTGTAAATACTCAATGGTTTCACACAAACACCCCAGGGAAAACCACTCCGTCAATTATCCGGAACATCGTTTGTCTATTGTTTTGGCTGTTGTTTCAAAATGTTTTAAACCGTTTTGCTTCTTTTCCCGGGCCTTTAGGTTCCGTTGAGACCAAAACCGGTTCCGTGCAGTGGATCCATTATAGCATGAGTCCCTACCTGGAGGTTGTCCCGCCTTTAGCTGGGTAAAGGACTCATCAGTACTGGCAGATGTTCTTAGCACATTGGTCCTCTTGCTTGATTGGGTAGGATCGAAAACCATGCCTCTCCCATACCCACCAGACGGTCGCTTCTCCCTCTCGGTCTCCACTGAGAAACGGCCCAAACCGCCGGTTCACGGCCTGACATTCAGGGCCGTGTTGAAGGTCGCTCGATGTGCCTGCGGTGCACAAAAGCGCGACACCTCGCTGCGCGCCTGGTGTGCCATAGAAGTACTGGAAATGGCCCAGAACACCCGCTGCAAAGATACCCCAAAGGAAAATCGAAGACTAGCTTAAACATGCACATAATGAATCATAAAATATAAAGCTCATTAGAGCTGAAGGGATGGATATCATCTGCTACGAGCACAAAGAAGCATAAGCACACGAGTTTGGTGCATTGAACCAGCAAAATTGCCAGGCAGCTGAGAATCAAAGAGAAAGCTTGACTTAGCAGATTCTCCAATTGGTTGGGGGAACTGCGCAGGCCAGTCAGGAGTTCAAACAAACTCCTGATGGTCTCTAGGAAGGGCCTCAAGGACCCTGGAAAAAAGCGCCCAGATCAATTTTCTCCTTCTCCACTTGAAAGCCGTCGTGTCGATCGCCCTAGATCGCCGTCGAACTCTTGGGGAACTCTCTGCTCGCTCAGAGAGTCTCGTTCAGCTAGTTCGACAGCACCGACCACGCCCGCTCCGTCGCTCCACCCCCGACCTGCCCCGTCCGCAGCACTTGCCCCAGCATCTTGGCAATGCCTGGGCAGCGGAGGAGGCGGAGGGCGGGAAGAGCTTTTTTGGAACGATTTGGGATGTCCAGAAGACAGCTTCGACGTGGGAGTGGGCAGTGGCCGTTGGAACCATGAGTTGGTCTAACGATCGATTCGTTTGTGCTATTTTCTAGCAGCTGGTCATTGTTCCCTCTCTTTGCAGTGGTGAACACAGGTGGTCAATTCTTGGGCTCTCTGGGATTCTGGCAGGTGTTCCATGGGTTTTCCTCGACAAACCCGACATATACATTCCTCTGCACTGCCGCACGGCGCCTCCCGCGCTGTCGCTGGAGATGCATTGGGAGACGGCGCCCAGCAGTGCGCTGCCGCTGCTTGAGACCTAGGGATGCGTCAGATGAACAGACTCTGGTTGACCACCGATGAACAGAATAGACAAACTGAATCAGACCACCTGAGAGGTCAACCCATGGGATGAGGGCTCCGAGCTTGGACCCACCTGATGGCAATGAGAAACATCGATGTTCGGCCAAAAGATTCGAGGCCCGGACGTATTCATACGCACTCAAGCGGGTGGATTGATTCATGGTGAGGACCTCACACATCTCCCACCACCTCCTTTTAGACCCAAAAACTATGGTGAATCGATGTAGTCTTACCATGTCTCACCGACATGGAAGTGGACGGCCCCGAAAGGAAGACTACTTTCTACTTTCCTTTACGAACAGGGAGTGCCATCCACCACTTGGATGTGTTCGTTGGGTTCGCGTTAGTCCTTCTTGGAGGGATCCACGTCAGCGCTGCTTTAGAGACGCTGCTGTGGGGAACGCATGCTTTGTCAGCCACTGCGGCTGCCAAGCAACAGAGATGTGGGGTGCAAAGTGGGTGCAACGGTCATGCGCAAGTGATGCGCAAGTGATGAGGTTTTCAAAAAGGACACATCCACGTCGTGTTTTTTGGAGTCTCGTACCTTAGAACATGAGTACAAGCTCCATGTGCCTATAGGGATCATGTCTCTAGGTTACTTTGAGGTTGGTGTTTGCTGCCAAGAAGGGCTTGGGATTCCCATTGGATCCCTCAAGCGTGTCCTGGTAGGTACCCAGCACACTTGAAAATTAATCCAAGGGTGACTCGCCATGTACTGTCCTCATGGAGCCGTTTTTTCCAAGACTTCTCTCCAGCAAAACTACATGCTACATTCTCCTCCCCTCTCGTCCCTTTGTGTCAACCAACTCCGAAAAACCTGGCAATGAACACCCCCCCATGAGTTCGGGGCACCCCTATATCACCCATGAAGCAGCCCTCTGGAACTGCTAGCTTAACTTATGCCCAGCTTTCATCACCTCATTACCTCTCCTGGGCTTTCCAACAGAGACCCGAAGCCGTGGCTGAGCACCTGCAAGACCCGCTTCGGGAACCGAAGGGTCCCAAAGGGTCCCGAAGGGTTCAGTGGCAGTCAGAGAAAGTGAGAGTACATGCAGGCGGTATATTGATACCTCACGTGAGCACGGAGAGCTGAAACGCATGTGTGCGTCACCAATTTGCTCCGTTCGTAGCGTCCGATCGCTCCTAATAGTAAGGCCAGGAGCCCCGTTCGTAGCGTTCTTGCTTGGTAGCGATGCCAGGAGCCCCGTTCGTAGCGTCCGATCGCTCCTAGTAGTAAGGCCAGGAGCCCCGTTCGTAGCGTCCTCTCGTTCCTAGTAGTCACTCACCATGTCCGCATACCATGTCGGTTGCTCCGCCCCAAAACGTCGAAAGGGCGGGAGAGCCAAGGGCGGGAGCAGATCACATGTCGTGGCGGGGGAAAGGTGGGACCTTCCTGGAAGCCCAAACAACTATGGATGTTTCCCTAAACAACCACAGGGACTTGTTATGTACTAAGCACCTTAATTATCCTTAATTGCCATATTGGAACAACGTACGGTACTATTTATTTCTGGCTATGTTGGTTTCCGGGATGGACTTGAGTGCTCAAGGCTTGGCTCTGACCTGTTCAAACCGCCTCACCGTTTCAAGCCCAAAGGGTCCACGGATTCCACTTTAGGACCCGCTCCGAATTGAGCTGCTGTTCGCTCGAACGAATTCGATCATACGAAACCATGGGATCGAACAACGAAGGACGAAGGTACTTGGAGCCATTTAAATGATCCAATTTAGCAGGTTGACCTAGTCCTCCAGCATGGGAACAAGTTCCCATGACCTCATGTAACTCAGGGTGTTCCATCCACAAGCTTGGGAGGTGACATGTCCGGCAAAGAGCCAGCGGCATAGCAGTGACATGGGTTCTTGGAGCTTTCACAACCCGACATCTGCTTCCTCTCAAAGGATCTCAAAGGTGCATCCCGCACCGCGAG